TGGCCAGATTAAGGGGCCAGTGTGAGCAAAGGTATAGAAGTAGCAAGTTGAGAGGCTTTACAGTGGTTCTCAACCTGTGGGTCGCGACCCCTTTGCCTATATATATATTTTTAATATATTTTATTGATTTTTTTACAGAGAGGAAAGGTGAGAGATAGAGAGTTAGAAACATCGATCAGCTGCCTCCTGCACATCTCCTACTGGGGATGTGCCCACAACCAAGACCGGAATCGAACCTGGGACCTTTCAGTCTGTAGGCCGACGCTCTATCCACTGAGCCAAACCGGTTTCGGCAGGAACTGTATTTAAAGAACCACTGTTCTATAAGAAAGGGTGACCTTCTCGGCCTTTTGGCTAAGATCAACTGTAGAAAGGATGACCTGACTAGAGCTGGCTTTAAGGAGTTGGTGCCCTAGCTGGTTTGGTTCAGTGGATAGAGCGTTGGCCTGAGGACTGAAGGGTCCCAGGTTCGACTCCAGTGAAGGGCACATGCCTGGATTGCGGGCTCGATCCCCAGTTGGGGGCGTGCAGCAGGCAGCCGATCAATGATTCTCTCTCATCATTGATGTTTCTATCTCTCTCTCCCTTCTCTGAAATCAGTAAAAATGTTTTTAAGAAAAGAAAAAGAAGTGCGCTTGAGGGGAAAAACTTAAGGTCAAAATCAATCAGGAACCTGTACTTGGAAAGTGAGAGAGAAGGAGGATAGCTTAGTAATTGGCCTAAACAAAACCAAACAAAAGGCAGAGGAAGAGAAAATTTATTGGAAGTGTTCTGGAATAGTTTACAGACTCCAAGAAAGTTGAGCAACAGACCTCAAGGCACAGGACAGTTGGACCTTGGCAACAGTGGAGCCCTGTCAGCTGTGGTTCCCAACCCATAACACCAGTGCTCCCCCTTTGTCACAGTTATTTTTAATACTTCAAATGTTTAACACTTCACATTTACAAACTATTTTCTATTCTGAAGTTAAATTTATGGATAATAAGTTAACTACATATAATTGCCAAGTATATTTGCACACATCCCAAACCATACCATAAAGGAGAAATAAAAAGAAAATAATTTTAATACAAAATAATATGTGTTTCAATATCTAAATGCCGGTGTGTGTTTCTCGGCATCTGCAAGGGGTTCCAGGAATCTGGAGAAGGCTCTGTGTGTAAATTAAATAATAGTCCAGAGACAAAACATAATTTTTGAAGACATTTTGGTTTCTTAGCTAAAGAAACCAAGTTCTCCTGTCTCTCTGGACCCCTTGCTTTTTATTAACACAAATTGTCCTAAAGCAAGGTAGATATACATGTATCAAAGGCCAAGGTTTAGTGTACAGAATCCATTGTCAGATTGGAGGAATTGCCTCTGGCTGTTCAGGTGTTTGGCCAGTAGGAGGCAGTAACATGTAGATTGAAATGCCCTCAACTGTCTGGCAGCAAGCAATCATTTATGCATCTTTTTCAGGTTTGAGGAAACGCCCTCAGCCATTCCAGCAGGCAATAACATACATGATTCAACCCTTGCTGAGTCCCCAAGTTCCATCAACCTTTTGATGAAACTCTTGCATTTATGACATGCTGGAATTAGCTTCCGGCATCTAAAGGCTTTGGCATAATTGCACAAGAAAGCCAACCAAGAGGGCACATACTTGCACTTGAATCCAGTCACTGTGAATGTGGCAGCTGCAAATGCTGAGGGATGCAGGGGTATCATTGTGGTGGTTCACATTCCTTGGGTAAGGCAGTAAGTACATGCTTTTTCTGAGACAAGGAACAATTCTTGGTATTTTCCCAAGCTAAACAAAGTATAATCTTAGCTTGATTTTTATGGTAGCTGCATTTTTGGAAAAATTCGAAGTATGGTAAAGTCGCATAAAAAAAATACTAGGCTCTGATCATTTTAAACAAGTTCTCCACCTACACGAATGTCTGGTGGGATATGTGAAAGTCATGCAGGATACAGAAAAAGTCCTTATGCAGAAAAGTGCCAGGCTTTCCAGGTCACAGAGCAGTAATGCCCCCACCCACTACATGCCAGCAGCACTCCCAATTTGGGTGGTAACTCAACACACCCTCACAGATTTTAATGGCTCATCTCCAATGAGAGCCATTACTGTAGTGGTCTCAAAACCAACTCTACTTCTCCCTGTATAAAAGGGGCTTAGCAACAACAGCTGCTCATCTTTCTCAGAGAAGTTGGGTGAGAATCAGGATCATGGATATGCAAGTACTTTGAACACGATAAAGCACTGTATAGAGGTGAGGTTAAGGTGTCTTTTGTGTAGGATGTGACCTTACATTTAACAGCCACACCGTTTCCCTCCACAGCCCCTGATGAGGCTCCGTGCAACCCAACCCCTGAGAGCTACCTTATCCGGTTGCCTCATGATTGCTTCCAGAATGCCACCAACTCCTTCTACTATGACGTGGGCCGTTGCCCTGTCAAGACCTGTGCAGGGCAGCAGGATAATGGGATCAGGTGCCGGGATGCGATGGAGCACTGCTGTGGCATCTCTAAAACAGAGGAGAGGGAGATCCAGTGCAGTGGGTACACGCTGCCCACCAAGGTGGCCAAGGAGTGTAACTGCCAGCGCTGCACGGAGACCCGGAGTATTGTGCGGGGCCGCGTCAGCGCTGCCGACAATGGGGAACCCATGCGCTTTGGCCACGTGTACATGGGGAGCAACCGTGTGAGCATGACTGGCTACAAGGGCACTTTCACCCTCCACATCCCCCAGGACACGGAGAGGCTGGTGCTCACATTTGTGGACAGGCTGCAGAAGTTCGTCAACACCACCAAGGTGCTGCCCTTCAACAAGAAGGGGAGTGCAGTGTTCCATGAGATCAAGATGCTTCGGCGGAAAGAGCCCATCACCTTGGAGGCCACGGAGACCAACATCATCCCCCTGGGGGAGGTGGATGGGGAAGACCCTGTGGCGGAGTTGGAGATCCCTTCCAAGAGTTTCTACAAGCAGAACGGGGAGCCCTACACAGGAAAAGTGAAGGCCAGTGTGACCTTCCTGGATCCCCGCAATATTTCCACAGCCCCGGCCACCCAGAGTGACCTGAACTTCATCAATGACGACGGAGACACCTTCCCCCTTCGAACATATGGCATGTTTTCTGTGGACTTCAGAGATGAGGCCACCTCTGAGTCACTCAATGCTGGCAAGGTGAAGGTTCACCTTGACTCGACCCAGGTCAAGATGCCAGAGCATGTGTCCACAATGAAACTCTGGTCGCTCAACCCAGACACGGGGCTATGGGAAGAGGAAGGTGACTTTAAATTTGAAAACCAAAGGCGGAACAAGAGGGAAGAGAGAACCTTCCTGGTGGGCAACATGGAGATCCGAGAAAGGAGGCTTTTTAACTTGGATGTCCCTGAAAGCAGGAGGTGCTTCATCAAGGTGAGGGCCTACAGGAGTGAGAGGTTCTTGCCCAGTGAGCAGATCCAGGGGGTTGTGGTCTCTGTGATCAACCTGGAGCCCAGGACTGGCTTCTCATCCAACCCCAGGGCCTGGGGCCGCTTTGACAGTGTCATCACGGGCCCCAATGGGGCCTGTCTGCCTGCCTTCTGTGACGACCAGTCCCCTGATGCCTACTCTGCCTATGTCTTGGCAAGCCTGGCTGGGGAAGAACTGGAAGCAGTGGCATCTTCTCCTAAATTCAATCCAAATGCGATTGGTGTCCCTCAGCCCTACCTCAACAAGCTCAAGTACCGTCGGACAGACCATGAGGACCCACGGGTTAAGAAGACGGCTTTCCAGATTAGCATGGCCAAGCCAAGGCCCAACTCAGCTGAGGAGAGCAATGGACCCATCTATGCCTTTGAGAATCTCCGGGCATGCGAGGAGGCCCCGCCTAGTGCAGCCCACTTCCGGTTCTACCGGATTGAGGGGGATCGGTATGACTACAATACTGTCCCCTTCAATGAAGACGATCCCATGAGCTGGACTGAAGACTACCTGGCATGGTGGCCCAAGCCGATGGAGTTCAGGGCCTGCTACATTAAGGTGAAGATCGTGGGGCCATTGGAGGTGAATGTGCGATCCCGCAACATGGGGGGCACCCACCGACAGACTGTGGGGAAGCTGTATGGCATCCGGGATGTCAAAAGCACCCGGGATAGGGACCAGCCCAATGTCTCCTCTGCTTGTTTGGAGTTCAAGTGCAGTGGGATGCTCTATGACCAGGATCGTGTGGACCGCACGTTAGTGAAGATCATTCCCCAAGGCAGCTGCCATCGAGCCAGTGTGAATTCCATGCTGCATGAGTACCTGGTCAACCACCTACCACTGGCAGTCAACAATGACACCAGTGAGTACACCATGCTGGCACCCCTGGATCCACTGGGCCACAACTATGGAATCTACACTGTCACGGACCAGGACCCTCGTGTGGCCAAGGAGATCGCTCTTGGCCGGTGCTTCGATGGCACGTCGGATGGCTCCTCCAGAGTCATGAAGAGCAACGTGGGGGTGGCCCTCACCTTTAACTGCATAGAGAGGCAGGTGGGTCGCCAGAGCGCCTTCCAGTACCTCCAAAGCATCCCAGCCCAGACCCCTGCTCCCGGCACTATCAGAGGAAGAGTGCCCACCAGGAGGCAGCAGCGGGCAAGTAGGGGTGGCCAGCGCCGGCTTGGAGGGATGGCCTCCCTGAGGTTTCGTGGGGTTGCTCAGCAGCCTCTAAACAACTAAGTCATGTGGTACTTCTCTTCTTCCCCCCCGACCTCACGTGACAGCCATTGTGAGACTGACGCACAAACTGTCACTTGGTTAATTTAAGCACATCTGTTCTGGTGCAGTTTGCTTGTTTGTTTCTTCATGCCTTTACTTACTGTCTTTGTCCCATGATACTGATTGGCGCGTAGCCCCCAAAATGGCAAAATAAAGCCTCTTTGATCTGTTCTTTAAAAGAAACACCAGAAACTGGCCATTGGCAAACTTTGTGGCTTTCACTGTTTTTCATCTGGTGCCATCAATAGAAGTCCCCTGCCTTTTCTTTTTGCATGGTTTTGCCCACCTTTACGATCATGATAATCTGAAGTTGAAGGTGAAATAACCAATATAAAGTATACTTCCTGGTCTTGCTCCACAGGACGTAAGCAAGGTCTTCATCACTGTTCATACATATAAATGGTGGTAAAATAAAATAATAAACTCCAATATTTTTACTTGAAATGTAAATAAGTTATTTCTTTACTGGATCTGGAACTCTTAGTGCACATTTCATGTTAAGCTATTGACTATTGGATAATTTCTCCATCGAGTCTGGAAAGTACATCTCGTATCCAATGCACCAGGTTGGTAATTACATTAGCATGTTTCCCTTTACATTTGCTTTTGTTCTTGCTAGAAGCCCAGTGCAGCTCAGAGCAGATGTCAATAAATGTACGTTTTGTACTTGATTTTGAGACCGCTATCCTGTCTTTTAACCCCAGCTGCTCAGGGAGAAGAGGGGACTCTGGAAAGTGATCACAAGGTGGCATGAGCCGCTGTCCCCTGTAAGTGGCAGGGCTGGGGAATTAGACACACGCTCCACGGTCGAGTTTGCACTCGTGGATCATATTTTCCACTCACAGAGAAGAGCAGAGATTACTGGAGTTGTGAGCATGTTCTGGACTCCTGAGCAAAGCTAAACACATGTCCCAATATGTGTTTTTTTTCCTTTCTTTCCAATCCTGGGAAACGTATACAATGGCTTGGCCAAGTGGTCTTTCAGCAACCCCCACAGCCTGCTGCCTTCTCCAGCTGGGCTGGCCGGCCTCACTCAGAAGTTATGGACTTTGTCTTTCTTCCTTCCTTCCTTCCTTCCTTCCTTCCTTCCTTCCTTCCTTCCTTCCTTCCTTTCTTTCTTTTCTTTTTTCTCCCCCCCGCCCCCACAAGCTCTTCTAAAGACATCCACCTTTTCCAGACACCAGATTTCTATTGTGTGACAGCCCCTGTTCCTTGAGTCAAACAACTGGCCCAAATGAATAGGGCGTTGTTTTTGGAAAAGAGGTTTGGTTTAAAATAGTAAATCAGAGGCTGGCGGATGGTTCCAAAGTGATCTTGGAGACATGGACAGTCAGGGTGTGGGGTTGGGTAAGATGCACTGACTGCCTCTCTCCCAATCCCTCCTGTCAGGAAAGAGGCGATGGGGATTGGGAGAGGAAAGAGCGTTATTTATAATCAGGACAAAAAGCTTTCCTTGATCCCCTGGCTGGCCCAGTGCAGCTCCTTTTGGCCGCCTCTGGCCTGGACTGGATTTGTACTCTTGGATCAGTAACTGCCCAACTCCCAGGGGTTTGGTTCAGAATCAATTAGAAATGTCTCTGGCGGAGCACCCCTTCCCCATGACCTCTGAGAAAGGGAGCACATGCAGGGTTGGGCCCGGTGGCTTATGATGGATTGCTCCTTGACTCACTTCCAGACAATGCTTCCCAGGGAGCAGCTCTCACTGACTGCTTGGGGGTGGGGCTTGACTGACCTTCCCAAAGGGTCAGTGTTCAACTCTCTGCAGCACAGACGCCTTGCCATACTGCTTTAGGAGTCAGTGCGTGCTGCTTCAACCTTCCACCAGTTCCCTTCCAGCTGCCCGGGAGGGGTGCTGGGAGAGTGAGCTGGCTGGGCTCCCGCCCCATGACCTTCCCTTTCTGTTCTTCATTGAGGGCCTGAATAACTGGACACCAGCAGGTGGCAGCTGGCACCTGACTGCTTCACTTACCAAACATTTATTGAGTATCTATCTACTCTATGCCAAGCCATGTGTATAGGTGGACTGGATTGTATGAGTATATAAAATATACCATACATAGTGGCACTACCACTTGAGGTGGTAGTCAGAGGGGGCTTCTTGGAGGAAGTGACATCTAATTTAAGGACTAAATGCTAGCTAGGAGCTTAAGCTGTGGCTGTCAGGAGCAAGGAGCACAAGCCGAAACAGTGTAGAGGCTGGGAGGGACGGGCAAATACCTCGCCTTCAGAAAAGGAAACACTGTTGAGCTCATGGCACCTACTTTCTAAGCATCTTGCTTCCAAAGACAGGTGTGCTGCTGCTAGCTGCATGACTTTGGTCCATTTCCCTGGACCTCATTTTCCATCTCTATAAATGAAAGAGTTGGTTATACACTAAAACTAATATAATATTTGAGGTAGAAGAGGGTATAGGGGGATAAATGGTAATGGGGAAAATATTTAAAAATAAAGAAAAAAACTAATATAATGTTATATGTCAATTATATCTCAATAGCTTTTTTGCTTTTTTTTTTTTTTAAGTGAAGGAGTCAGTCTAGCTTAGAATCTAAACCACCTCTAAAGTCCTTTCCATGATTTTCAGTGAGGCTAAGAGCACAGTTCCCAGGATGCCTTCTCTTGACCAAACTGCTGATGACTCACCGGGTGTTTCCCTCCCCCGTGGAGACTCTGCACACCGGATGGACAAAATGTTCATTTCAGAAAAACCCTGGGGTTTCGGTCCCGGCCTGCTGTATACTGGCTGGTCACCCAGGTACTGAGCGTGAACTGTGTGGGGATGGACAGCAGATGGCAGGCAGGAAGGGCACAGGCCGGAAGAGAGCAGGGCCAATCAGGCTGCTTCTGCTCCAACCAAGGGAGTTTTCCAGGCAGAATGCTCACTATAGTTTGGAGAGCTCTAGCAGCTAGGGTGATAGAGCAAAATGTCAGTGAGATACCAGGACAAGAACAGCGTCTTGAAAGATGGAGAAAATTTAAACAAGCCAAGTTGGAGGCAGTGCAGGGATAGGTGGTTTCCAGCACAGTGATTGGCCAGAGCAAAGGAATGGAGGTGGGACTGAACAAGGGAAGGCTTTTAGTTACAAGTAACTGGGGTGCCCGTAGACAACAGGAAGGACTGGAACCAGGAACCGCAACGCCATTGAATCCAGGCCATCACTCTACCTGGTTTTGATTCTCTCATTCCCTCACACTCAGTGGTCTCTCTCTCTCTCTCAGTCTCTAACCCAGTCTTGCTCTGCTTCTCAGATGGGCTCGCTGACTGTTTCTCCCTCCTCTTTCTAGGCCTCTCTCTGGTCAGCCTATTTCGCAGTCTCTTCTTCTTGCAGGCACCCTTAGATTCTCTTTGCAGATCAGCTATCTTGCTCGCCTGGATTCATGGAAGAGGTGGCCGTTTCTCAAGTCAAAGAAGAGTCCTGTCCTCAGCCCAGATTCCTTGGAGAGAGAATCTGATTGGCTCAGTTTGAAGTGGGGCTCCACCTCTGGTCTAACCAACTGTGGCTAGAGTTGGGGATGAGGGGGATGCTTAGGGGCAGTCCTATTAGTCATGGTTGCTGAGGAGAAGGGGCAATTCTTAGAGGGAATCCTGGCGAACTGGGAGACACTGCACAAGGTGACTACTTCCGGTGACAGTGAACAGATCATTGTGGGCTTACCGGAAGTTTAGGGTTTTTCATTTCCAAACATCAAGGAATTTTAAATACATCAAATGAGATCTGTGTGGTACCTGCTCTTTGAAATCTGATGTCTTGCTTCATGACTTAGCACTTGATCAGTTTTTGTAGTTTCCATGTGCAATTGGAAAAAAAAAAGTGTATTCCCTAATCATTGAGCGCAGGTTTCTACATAAGACCATTAACTCAAGTTGTTAATTGTTCTGTTCAGTAAGTAAGGAGTGTGTTTCTCTCTGTGATCCTCAATTCGGCTTTATATATTTGGAGGTTATTTTAATGGTTGCCTATTATGTATTGAATTTTTATGCCTTCTTGTAAGTTGAATCTTTTATTGTTACATGTATAACTATGTTGTTTGTTCCCATAATGCTTTTTTGTTTTAAAGCCTATTTTGTATAATAATATATCTCCAAATTTTCTTTTGGTTAGTATTTGCTCTGTATATCTTTTAACAGCTTTTTGCGTTTAACCTTATGCATCATTTTTTTTGTTAGTTTATTTTGTTCATAAGATTCCACATATAAATGAAATCATATGGTATTTGTCTTTCTCTGACTGGCTTATTGCACTTAGCATAGTACCCTCCTGGTCCATCCATGCAATTGCAAAGGGTAATATTTCCTTCCTTTTTTTTTTTATGGTGAGATGGTACTCCATTGTGTAAATATACGATAGCTGTTTTATCCACTTATCTACTGATGGACACTTGGATTGATTCCAAATGTTGGCTATTGTAAATAACACTGCAATGAACATAGTGGTGCATGTATTCTTTCGAATTAGTGTTGTGGATTTCTTTGGATATATTCCCAGAAGTGGAATCACTGGGCTTCTGTGTCTTTTAAAAATGTGTTTCTTGTAAACCGTATATAGCTGAGTTCTAGTAGATCTAATCTAATAATCTCTTTTAACTATCGGGTCTCATAAATATATATGGTAGTTAGTTGGGTTTGCACTTGTTTTTATCATCTTACCTGTTGATTTTTTTAATCACCTTTTCTCTTTTACTGTTAGCATTATAATGGAGCAATAGTTTTCTTATTCAGTTTTTCCCCTTATATTGATATGGGAGTCTTACACTTTTTCTGTCCTTTTAGTGTTTTCTCTTGAATTATTTTTATAAACGGATTTTAACAAAATCAAAGTTAAATAGTATCTTCAGCCCTCGCCGGTGTGGGTCAGTTGGCTGGGCATCATCCCGTGCACCAAAAGGTTGCTGGTTCCATTCCTGGTCAGGGCACATTCACAGGTTTCAGCCTCGATCCCCAGTAGGGGGCGTGTGGCAGCAGTCAACCCATGTTGCTCTGTTGGCCCAAACTCTCTAAAAATCAATAAACTATTTTAAAGAACTGTATCTTCACCCCTCACAATATTTTAGTTATTTTTTGCCCCTCAAAGCAAGCATTTTAATATTACCATGTTTGTTTAGATTTATTTATATGTTTATCACCTTGGACCTTGCTTTTAAGGTTATTTTTCTTCTTCCTGAAAAATATCTTTTTTAAAAAATATATATTTTACTGATTTTTTACAGAGAGGAAGGGAGAGAGAGAGGGATTTAGAAACATCGATGAGAGAGAAACATCGATCAGCTGCCTCCTGCACACTCCCCACTGGGGATGTGCCTGCAACCAAGGTACATGCCCTTGACCGGAATTGAACCTGGGACTCTTGAGTCCACAGGCCGACGCTCTATCCACTGGGCCAAACCGGTTAGGGCCTGAAGAATATCTTTTAGATATTATTTTAGTGAAGGTCTGTTGTTGGTAGAATTATCAGGTTTTTGAAATTGGAATATAATTCATATACCATAAAATTCAACATTTTAAATTGTACAATTTAAAAACTCAGTATATTCACTGAGTTTTAAAAACCACTATCACTGTCTATTTCCAAAACATTTTCATCCCAGGAAGAAATCCCATACCCAGTTACTCCCTAATCCTCCTCCCCCACTCCCCTGGCAACCACTTTGTCTTTATGGATTAGCCTATTCTGGA